GTGCATTTGCGCACGTCTGTCCCCGGCTAGGTATGCGTGTACGTGTTATTATTTTTCTGGGGGGACTCCAGCCAGCCGGCCTAATGAGGCCCACTTACATTTCACAGTGCAGGCGGCCGAGGTGGCGCTGCAGCACGCATGAATTATTAAAAGCCATATGTGGTAGATGGCGTTCTCCACTGTTTCCTCAGCCCCGCAGACACCAGCAGATGGTTGGTGTAAAGACGCTAAATATTAAACAGCCTCCTTTTATTCCCCCCCCCCAGGTTTCCTCTTGCCCACGAGCTCTTTTTTAGTGTTTTCTGGTGTTTTTGTCTTTACTTAGAGGCTAATCATGAACAGCTAATGGCTGCTGAGCGCTCTGAGGGATTTTCTGAATGCTGGGGTTTCCTGGACATCTGCTATTTTCCTTAATCCTTTTCCCAGAGCGAGAAGGTCAGTGCGGCGCGAGTTTTGGTTTTCTGTGATTCTCTGTGGGAAATTCAACCGTCGCCGTCACAAACACGACATCATCGGCTCCTTGGCTATTTCTGCAAGTTGGGCTGACGAGTGATACGTCTTCACGCGCTCCTCAGGTTCTCCCAAACGTGCCATCTCCAAGGGTTTCTCTCCATCTACCAGTTTAAAAACACTCTCCAAGCTCCTTAATTTATTCCATCTCTTAAACCGTGCGGTTCCCTAATTTCTATCACCATTTGTTGTCCCTCTCTCCCTTCCGGTGGCCCCATTTCTCAGAGCACAAACATGAGAGCTGGCGGTGCTTCTCCCACAGTCTCCACACTGACTCATGTGTGTTGACTAAGCCTAAATCCCATTTACCACTTTGATGGCGCACTCCACAACCTTCCCCCAAAGTCATCCCCCCTGCTCTCCCCTTTTCTCTTCTCTCATCCGCCTTAGCGGAGCTCCGGATATAGTAAGGAGCTGGCCGCCAGTCGTTTGTGGGAAGTAGGCCAGAAAGGTCCGAGGATTTGCGGAAGAGTTGTTAAAGCTTCGCTAAAGAAGCCGGCTTCTTTAGCGAAGCAGCAACATTTACAGCTATTTTACAAACGTCCTCGTGCTGCAGAGAGACGCAGTCTTATTAGCAGAACAAGAGCTGGAAGTTTCTTTGTGATTGTAAAGACATTGTCTTGGTCCTGTAGACCCTCTAAGTCCGCTTGAGCCTTTTAATTTGACGGCAAAAACAAACCTTTGACTTCATGTCGGAGCTTTTTGGGGAGCAAAATACTGAATTGAATTTGCTGCTGTGCTGCTTGTCATGTCTCTGCTGACAGATTGTCAGAGCGCAGCCGGATAACTGCAGTCCACTTAAACGAGGACTCGAGGCACGCCCTCATGACGGATAGCTCTGTCACGGCCGTATTATAGAGTTGTTGAAACG